GGTGTTTGGGTGTGAGAGGAGGGGGGGGGGGGGGGGGGGGGGGGGGGGAATGACCCAAATGGGCCAGCCGAAAAGAAAACCTTTACTGTTAAGCACTGACCATAGTATCAACAAATGTAATGTCTTTTGTAGAAAAATCTCTTTTTGCTGGCTCTTGAACATTAAGATCTTGACATCTTGGGACCCACGGAAATGCTAGGATAAATCTCACATGCCTAAATTGCAGTTTGAAAAGATGTGAACATGACAGAGAGAATGGTTGACGTTTCCTGTCAGAAGCTTGTAAGAGTAGGCAAGACAAATTTCACCAACATAAAAAAGCAATTAGATGTCAGTGTTCGGAGATAAATCATGACAATAGCGGCTGTAGAGGCTGCATAATCACACACACAATGTAAAACTCAAATCAAACGTGCAATGGTGTTGGTGTAAATCTTGTTCACTTTCTCACAGACACACACATGCACACAATACCATGTTGCTGTCTCCGTCAGATGCCTGCAACAACAGCTTACGGAGAGACTTTTATTGCTGCTTTCCCTTTTGTTCATCCTTTCTCCCTGCCTTTAATTACGCCTTCCATCACCAGTCATTACAACAACTAATTATCATTGTGCTTCTGCTCCTCCAATCTTACAGCGCTCTGAGCGTGTGTGTGACATTGCATGAATTTGTCGACTCATAGAACCTTTTATTGTCTACACACATACCGCAGCTTTTAATGAAGCCTTGATTTTTTTGTGCCTTCACATACTATAGCACACTCAACCCTTATTAAACTCATCATCATAGTTAAACCCTGTCTGAATGATCATTTTACACCTCTCAGAACAACACCTCTTTGAAGAAATCACTGTTTTCTCTCCACCTGTTATTTAGGAGCATATAGCACAACGAGTACTTTATGAGCCCTCCCCCATCTTCTGTCAATCATTCCCAACCGACACTCTGGTAACTAAAAGCAACAGGCTCCCAAAGGCACCCCTGACCTTTCACCTCATTGTTCAGACATAAGACACACCCAGGAATAATGTCTGGAGTGTGGTTAAAATAATTTATCACACACATACACACACACACACACACACATAGCGTACATATCATTTCCATTTAGTGAAGCTGAATACATTGCCATGCCAATGACCAGACTGTCAGGATAGATGCACAAGAAATCATTCTCATCTGCATGGAACAATCGGGATCACGTTAATTTATGCACATCATATTTAATATGAAACATAAGGGCATTAAAGCAGCACAGCAGACAATATACTAAAAGGAACTCAACCAAACAGACCAAACTGTAATTCAAGCTTATTTGGGTTTTAAATATAAATGCTAAAATTATTTTAAATCCCTGGACTAAAAATGTTATTAAATAAAACAGCTGACACCGTCGTTTAAAGACACCAAAAAAATTCTGTCATCATTTACTCACCCTTGTGTCTTTCAAATGTTCATGGCTTTCTTTCTTCTGTGGAACACAAAAGAATGTCTTAGTGTGTTTTTTTTCTTTTGAAAGTCAATGAGGTCCAAAACAGCCCCATTGAGTTTCATTGTATGAAAAGTGGCTTAACAATTAAATAATTTTACTAAATAATATCACTATATACAGTATATTACAAAGACTTGTGTGCTTTGTTGGCCAGTGCTGTGCAGCACCCATGACACACACTGAAGCTGTGCGATACCACACACACTTGGCAGTTCATGGCTCAGGTTTCATTTAACATGGGAACAGAAATCCTGGAAATTACCCAGAACTGTTTTGTTAATTGGCCACAGAACATTTTAATTGAATATTGGCATAAAACTGCTGTGGACTCCTGCAGAGAACTTTACAACCTCCAACTAGATCAGACACAACAAATGGCTGTAAAATGCCTTTTTCAGTCCCATGCGCAAATGACAAGAGATGAGCAAACCCATGGAGTAGATTTAATACGACTTAAATACGACTCCGTGCCATTTTTACATAAAATACGTTAAAACCAATGGCCAAATAGAATAGCATTATGAGGTCATGTGACTGTAGCATAAATATTACATGTAGACAGAATACTGTGCAGTATGCAGTATACTAGAATCCATTTCCCCCCCTGTATTTTCTGATCTCTATGGCAAATAATAACAACAGAGCATTTTGAATGCTCTTCACAGAGGTCACTGGTAAGACTCAGTGAATAAATCTCATCCCACAGTTCATTCTTTCAGTTAAAATCTATCTTTATTCGATAGTTGAACCTTGCTATAATGCATTCCATTGTAGTTATGTACCAAAAACTAATATAACAAATGATAATGCTGGAATTTTAGTTTGGACTCTGGAGGACAGAATTCACAAAAAGTATTCTAATTTAGGAACCATTGTTTAAACCAAAAACACTGTTACAAATGCAAAACCACTGCTAGAGAAAACAAGCATCTATGCCATCAGACTTTTGATTCAGAACCTTATAGTTACTGAAATAAAGAGTTTGTGAGTCCTGGTGTCCCTTGCACCAAATTACATCACATGACCCAAACAAGGTTTCAGTAGGCATTCTAATGATTAAAACCTAGAAATAACTACAGAAAGTCCAGAAACAATATGTGTCTGAGGTATTTTGGAAAGATACATTAATTTACTGGTTTCCCGGAAGCTAGTGACCTATGCTGCATCAGTATGATGCATGATTTCAATTTAACAGCCACTGAAGCCATACATTTTCTGTAGGGTAAAAGGCTTGCAGCACAAGCACCCTTTCGTGCTCAAAATACCAGTCAAAAGCTTGAGTAACTCTGCAAAGTTCCTCCCAGTATGAATGTTTTTTTATATATATTTAACGATCCATATTAAGCAAATTATTATATTGTTTTCCCTCCAATTTTGATTTGTGTCCTGAGGTGCTTCATAATGGTCATATTTAAGCACATAATGTCATTAACAAGCTTTGAAACTTTGAGCAGTGCCTCAAATGCATGAAACTTAGACTCAAATAAGTGTTTTGTGCCAAGCAAAACAGCCAAAAACCAGATTTGCAGACTAGCAACATTTTTTTATTTCCAATGAGCAGCAGTAAAGGCCAGATACATTTGGTTACAAAACAGAAAGGGGGTAAACAAGCCTACACACTGTGCTAATTATTTCCTGGAGATTTCCCAAACATCCCCAGCATTAACTGAGCTAATGTGACTGTGAGTCTGGTTTATGTGTTGTTGTACTGACCTACACACACTGGAGGATAATTGCGTGGATTCAGCTGACACGCTGACAATGTGAAAATTAGGTTTCACAGCTGGACATACATGATTGTATAACAAGACAGATATGCCATAAGAGTTTCAATAAATAAACAATTTGCATTTTATCACATTTCGTGTGGAATAAACCCTGTTGGAGACACATTAACAATGAGCGTTTAGCTTGTTATATGAAGCATTTGTAATAACACTGATGATGCAACACAATGGTAAAAACAAAGGTGCTCTGGTAATTCTAAAACATGATTTGCCGGGTTTCTTTGCTAATGACAGTGTGGATGAGAAGGTTACTGTCGACAGGGGTTCTCATTACCAAAATCATAGAAGCAGAGCGAACTCTGGGTAGAAGTCCAAAGGGCCGAGCACAGACAAACATTAATCTGTTCTTGTCCTTGGCAGTGTGAGCTACAGAATTGAATTTCATGGACTAAGGTGTTGCTTGATGACAATATGTCCCTAGCGGCCTCGGATGCTGAGGATTGGTCGGGCTCCATTGCTGACCCTGCCCCCTTGCCGTCTGCGGAGCCGATGGATGCCAGGGTTGGTACGGACACCGAGCTCATCCGTGTCCTATCAAAAGCCGTCGAGAAGCTCGGATTGGAGTGGTCTTCACCTGAAGAGCCCACTCGCAGCCGCCTAGACGAGTGATTTCTGCCGGGACACAGCCAGACCCCTCCTCAGTGGTGCTGGAACGCCATTTGTGGCTGAATTTGACAGAGATCAAAGAGGCGGATAAAACAATCTTCCTTGACTCCCCGGTCAACCCCCCTTGGCCTTTTCGGACCTGCTGTGGAAGGGTTCGCCGAGCGTTTCACGGCTGCACAGAAGTCGTCCCAAGCCATGCGACACTTCCTGCCGAAGCGTTCCAGTTCTGCAGCTGCTGCCAGTCGCCCCAAGCCGGCGCCAGTTAAAACTATGCCTCCTATGATTCAGCCCTCTGCACGGCCTGAGCCCAGGCAGCGCTCGCGCTCTGCAAAGCGCTACCCTTTCCCGAAGTGCCAGGGACCCCAGCCCACGATTGTGCTGGACCCTGCGCCTCAGAAGCCCTCCTGATCCCTCAGGAAGGAAGAGGAGGGGGCAAAGCCTCGCTGTGGCCGGACCACCCCCCAAACTGCCTCGTATGTGTTCCCAGTCTCCCCGTCCAGTTCCGGGTGCTGGGAAAAATGTGTTTATTGCATGCAAAGGGCCCGTTCTAGCGCCCAAGTGTACAACCGCTGTGATAGTGGACAAAATAAAACACAAACATACTCAAAAAGAGAGCAAATTTCCCCTTCACAGCGACCCGCCGCCCGAACCAATTCAACCCCTTGCCACAAGGGCCGAGGCCTGGCAGGCCATCCCCGGCATATCAAAGTGAGTTATGGGGATTATAAAACAAGGTTATCTACTCCAATTCGCTCGAGAACCCCCACGTTTCTGCGGTGTGATCCCCACCTTAGTAGGGAACACGAATGCTCGCGTTCTTCGTTCCGAGGTGGCTGTGCTGCTGATGAAACGGGCCATAGAAATCGTCCCGCCAGCTCAGAGCGAGTCAGGCTTTTACAGCCGCTACTTCCTCGTCCCCAAAAAGGATGGCAGCCTCAGGCCCATCCTCGATCTCAGGATTTTGAACCGTGCTCTAGTAAAGTGCTCATTCCGAATGACCACTTTGAAACAGATCCTCTCGCTAATTTGCCAATTCGGACTGGTTCTTCTCTCTGGATCTGAAAGACGCTTACTTTCACATTCAGATAGCCCCACGTCACAGGCGCTTCTTGAGATTCGCCTTCGAGGGAGTGGCATATCAATATACGGTTCTGCCGTTCGGGCTGTCTCTGGCCCCACGCACTTTTACGAAGTGCATATATGCGCCTCTCTTCCCTCTGAGACAGATGGGAATCCGCATTCTGAATTACCTCGACGACTGGCTTGTCTTAGCCCAGTCAGAGGCCGAGCTGATAGCCCACAGATCCTCCCTCCTCAACCACTTAAGAGTGCTTGGGGCTCAGGGTCAATTACGCCAAAAGCTCAATGATTCCCAGCCAACTAATCTCGTCTTCGACTCAACCCAAATGAGAGGTGTAGCCTCGCCAGAACATGTCCTGGCTATACTGCGGCTGACGACCGCCTTAACGATTGCCGCGTCCCTTCCTCTCAGAGTGTTCAGAGGATGCTGGGCCTTATGGCCTCTGCATCACCAGTACTGCAGTTAGGCCTCCTTCGCATGCGGCCTCTTCAACACTGGCTGAAACCCCTGGTTCCATCCCGAGCTTGGCATCACAGACGCCTTCGTATCAAGGTGGATCATGCCTGCATCGCAGTCCTTGCCCCTTGGAAGGACCCTTCGTGGTTCAAACAGGGCGTACCCCTGGGGATGATGCACAAAAGGAAGGTCACCGTCACAGATGCGTCAAACACAGGCTGGGGAGCCTTTGGCGCATGGTCGAGTGAAGAGACAAAGCTGCACATTAACTGCCTGGAAATGCTGGCAGTATGGCAGGCCTTACAGTCCTTCCTACCACATCTAGAAGGATGCCATGTCTTAGTCCGATCGGACAACATGACGGTAGTATCCTACATAAATCGCCAGGGTGGCCTTTCCTCCCCACGCCTCTTCAGGATGGCAAAGAGCCTACTGGAGTGGGTACATTGCCACTTGCGCTCCCTAAAAGCAGAAACTGAACCAGGGAGCAGACATGCTGTCTCGGAGCAACGTCCCCTCTGGCGAGTGGATGCCTCACCCCCAAACGGTTAGGAGAATATGGTCATCCTCTTTGCCTCAGAAGACAACTCTCATTTTTTTTTAAGGAAAGGGATGCGCTGGCCCACAATTGGCCCAGCCTTCTCCTTTACGCTTTTCCCCCGATCGCCCTGATCCCTCAGGTTATCAGGCGAATCAGGGAACAAAGGCACAAGGTGCTTCTAGTGGCCCCGCTCTGGAGAAACCAACTATTGTTCTCAGAGATGTCTCACGGCAGCTCCATGGCCCATTCCCCTGAGACGGGACCTCCTCTCTCAGGTGAACATGACGATATGGCACCCCCAACCCAAATTGTGGGCCCTACACTTATGGCCTCTCGATAGGAGCCTATGAACCTCCCAGAGGGTGTCTTAAATACCATTTCTCAGGCTAGAGCCCCGTCCACAAGGTGCCTCTATGCCCTCAAATGGTTGGTCTTCACCGCTTGGTGCACAAACCGTGGTGAAGGTCCATCCACATGTGATATATCTTTGATATTGTCCTTC